CTCTGTGAACAGATGATGTGACCTCTTTACAGAGAAGTAGAGTAGAACAAACAAACGAGGGTTCTGCACACACCCCGGGCTGACTGGCCACCAGCTGCCAGCTTGTGACCCAGGCAGGGGACTCCAACCCTGGCGCTCAGCTGTCAAACAGTGTAATGACCGCAGCCGCAGAGCCACTAGGAGGAGGGAACGCCATAGTATTTGTGAAAACACTCAGAGCACAGGAGAGTTTGCTACCTAGACTAAAATACTCAGAAGATCAGCAGTGTTCCTGTGTCCCAGCAAAGGCAGCAAAAGTGACTAAAACAATCCTACCTTCATTCACCCTCACAACAGCTTTGCAAACGACGCTAGTCACTGTTTCACAGACGAGGAAACAAAGGCTCCAGGAGAAGTTAAGAAACATGCCACTGCCTCCGGCCTTTTGGCTAAGAGCAAGTGAGGAAGTGCACCCGAGCTACAGAGCGTGTGGAGGTGTGGGCAGGGGAGGGGCTGCAGAAGCAGAAGCCAGCTGGACCCAAAGCTCGTGTCTTTGAGAAACACCAGTGGCCCCTCAGTTTTCCTGCCCTCTGACAGCAGGAAGAAGGTAGCGATAGGTATCCCAGTGCTTTGGCCAGAAGAAAAGTTAATAAAAATACATCTAAGCCAATGGAAAGGCATTCCCATTGGGATTCAAGACCGCATGAACAAGAGTAACCTGGAAATGTGTGTGTGTGTGTGTGTGTGTGTGTGTGTGGTGTGTGCTGTTGGAGTCGAGGGAGACCTCACCTGATGGCACAATACACTCAAGCCTCGTGGAATCAGGGCATGAAGAATAGAATGGAACAAAAGGTTCAGAAACAGAGTTCAGAAATAGACCCAAGTGCATATGGGAATTCAGTGTTACAAATCAGGAGGGGAAAATGGACTTTTGGAAAAAAAAAAGGTTTGTTTATTTATTTGAAAGCCATACCATGAGACTGTGTGTGTTGGGGGGGGGGGGCAGACAGAGAGGGAGCGAGAGGGAGAGGGAGAGGGAGAGGAGGAGGGAGATCTTTTATCTGATGGCTCACTCCTCAAATGGCTGCAACAGCCAGGGCTGGGCCAGGCTGAAGTCAGGAGCCAGAACTCCTTCTGGGTCTCCCACGTGGATGCAGAGGCCCAAGCACGTAGGCCATCATCTGCTGCCTTCCAGACCCATTGCTAGGGAGCTGCAGGGAGGACTTAAACCAGCACTCGGATATGAAATGCCAGCGTTGCAAGTGGTGGCTCAAATCACTGTGCCACATGCTGGCCTCCCAAAAAAGGACTTCTAAACAAGCAGCACTGGGGCACTTACACAGCTGTTTGTAAAGTGATAAAAAGGATTCACATCTCCCCCCATATACAAGGACGAGTTTCAGATAGATGCAGTCTTAAACGTAAAAGTGAAACCATGAAAGTGGAACAGAAAATTGAGGGCATTTCTTTACAACCTGAAAGTGAGGGGAGACCACATCATCTATGACTCAAAAACCCAAAATAGACAAGCAAGTTCTCATAAATTAAACTTCAGGGTTTGTACCCACACTGTGAGGGGAATGTAATGTAAAACATTATAACCTGCACAGGAAGGATTTGGTGATGTGTAGAAAGCTCACACGTGCAGTCACCCTTAGATCCAGCAAACCCACCCCTAGAAGTAACTGTCAGATACTGCAGCAAAAATAAAAAGGATTATGGGAAAGACTAACAATGACCTTTTTAGAAGAATAGTGGTCTCCCACCCTAAAGATATCCACACCCTGATCTCTGTGTCCTCTCACACAGCAGGGGGGACTGCACATGTGAATAAGGTCCAGGGCCTTAAAATGGGGAGGTCACCCGGGGGGCCAAAGTAAGGAATGAGCCCTTGACTGGGGAAGAGGGAGCAGAGACAAGCGAGCGAGGGGGAGGAGGCAGCGGCAGCCCCAGAAGGCTCCTGAGCTGATGTGGTGTAGAGTCCAGAAGAACCCAGGGAGTGCTAGATTAAGGGAGGGAGGGTGGAGAGACAGAGAGGAAAGGAAGGAAGAGAGGAAAGAGCATAGGAAGGAAGGGGGGGGGAGAGCAGGGGAGAGGAGGGGGGAGGAGAGCAGGGGGAAGGAGAGGAGGGAGAGGAAAGGGGGGAGAACAGGGGAGAGGAGAGGGGAGGTGAGCAGGGGAGAGGAGGGGGGAGGAGTGCAGGGGAGAGGAGGGGGGAGGAGTGCAGGGGGAAGGAGAGGAGGGAGAGGAAAGGGGGGAGAACAGGGGAGAGGAGAGGGGAGAGGGGAGGGGAGGAGAGCAGGGGAGAGGGGGGGAGAGGGGAAGGGAGGAGAAGAGGGGAGAGGGGAAGGGAGGAGAAGAGGGGAGAGGGGAGGGGAGGAGAGCAGGGGAGAAGGGAGGGGAGGAGAACAGGGGAGAGGAGGGGAGGGGAGTAGGGAAGAGGAGGGGAGGGGAGAGGAGAGGGAGAGGAGCAGGGGAGAGGAGAGAGAGAGAGGGAGCAAGGGGGGAGGATGGAAGGATAGAAGGAGGGAGTAAGGGGGAAATGGACAGAGGAACAGTGGAAACTGAGTCCAGCCAAACCTTTTCAATGAACGTCCAGTGGACAGGGCACGAGGGGTACAGGGACAGTCGCGTGGTACCACAATCACGGAGCAGGTGCTCCTCCACTGTACGCCGTCTTGAGACAACTGACTGGCCTTTCAACAGGACACGGCACAGGGAGGAAGAGGGTAGGGGATCTCCCAGATTGCAGTGGCCAAGAGCAGACGCGCGCTTGTCAGGTGGGTTCCAGGGTGCATAGGATGGGGCGATGACGGACAAGCTCATCATCGTGACTGCAGGGACAGTGTCACAGGTGAACAGATATGTGTGTTGAAGTCAGAATCATCCACCCACCTGCTCTACAGCACAGTGTCCCTTGGTGTCCACAAGGAGGAAAGCCCAGTATGTACATGGACTCGCACGTCCCATCTACAAAGTAGTGTAACCTAAGGCACACCCTCCCGCCATCACAAGGCCCCGAGGGGAACAAGGATGCCAAGGCCAGAGGTTACCACACACAAGGGAACAAGGATGCCAAGGCCAGAGGTTACCATACACAAGGGAACAAGGATGCCAAGGCCAGAGGTTACCATACACAAGGGAACAAGGATGCCAAGGCCAGAGGTTACCACACACAAGGGAACAAGGATGCCAAGGCCAGAGGTTACCATACACAAGGGAACAAGGATGCCAAGGCCAGAGGTTACCACACACAAGGGAATCACAGCTACGTCTGCATCTTCAGTCTGGGAAGTTCTCTGTGCTGGTGCTCATGTTTTCAGATGTGCATGTGCAGGTCTGTGGGGGTGAAAGGGCTGGTGGGTTGAGATGCTTCATCCAGGACACAGAAGGGCCTGGGCACTGTGGCAGTGTCCTGGGAACTACTCAACCTGGGTGACAGGTTCCTTGTGCTACTCTCTTTGCTTTGGGGTATGGTGAAAACATCGTATGCTAAAAATACAGAGTGTGGGGGAGAGGCCTAGAGTGAACACACGGAGGCAGAGAAAGCTGCCGTGAATTTATCACGTCACTTCCTCTCCCTGGGAAAATGGGAAGACAACACTGCCCAGACACTCCGGCAGGGGCATTGGAGCCATGCAACCAAGTCCTGTAAGCAAGGGGTGGGCAGAAGCCCTGCAATTCACGCCAGCCTGCTCTGGGAGCACAGAACGAAGTGTGCTGAGCCGTGACATGGTTTCTGTGGCCCGGCCCAACACCAGGTTCTCAAGCTGCCCGAATGGAGTTCAGCCGCACCGTCATCTGCAGCCCCCAAAGACCAACCCAACGCTCTGCACCCGGCTGCTTCTGCAGACGGACCCAGAGGGGTGAGAGGGTTTGCATCAGAGTCCACGACTTCGTATTTTCTTCTAAAGTGTCTTATTAGAGTTTGCTTCTATCACTTTGCTTTTCACTCACTGGGGAGCTGCTTTTTGCATTTGAAGTGAGGCGGGGAAACACTGTTATTTTTCCCAATAATGGCCCCAGCCCCACTAATGGACCAGTGCGGCTTTGATGTTTACATTTTCAGGATCTCACATAGATTTCCAGAAACGTTCCACTAAACGAAACTTGGAAGACACACACAGGATGCACTTCCTAGTTTATGGCTGCTTTTCCAGAGTGAAATGTCTTACAATACAGCGTAAGTACAGTCAGGAAAACCACCAGGATTTTACTACAGACAGAAACTGTTTTTAAACTCCACTCCTCCTCATATTCCGGGTCTTGATTTTTTTTTTCCCCTCCTACTTTTATTAGAATGCAGAACCGGCAGACTGTCCGGCACTTTGCACTGCTGTCATGATCTCATCCAAGTGACCCTGGCACAGACCCCACGCCCCTCCACACTTGCTAGGGCCCCTGCAGTCAGACCCAGGTCTTCTGGGTGAACCACCTCTGGCTCTCTGACTCACTTCACCTCAGCCACCCAGGCCCCTGCCCACCCTTAAGCACAAGGTGTACTCACCCCTCCCAGAGGCCGGGCGGCCACCTCCACTGGAGAGAACTCTTCTCCCTCACGGCAGGAACTTGGTTGGCCCAAGCTGCCTGTCCCACCCCCTGCCCAGAACTGCACCTGTGGTTGAACGCGCTCTGAAAACACTGTCGAATGTGTGCAGAGGTTCTGACAGAGTAATCCTATCATTGTACATGCTTGCTAGCTGTGGTAGAGGATTCTTCTTAAAAAGCTCAATGAATTATGCTATGAAAGTTGACCACTTGAGTTTTAACTTGAACTTTAACCCTTATCAGCACTCCCCGGCCGGATGCAACCCCTGTCTGGCCTCTCTTGTTTCCACTGTTTTTCCACATCTTGTTCCCAGCAGGTGAGGTGTCTCCAGTTCCTGCTTCCCCTTCTCCCAGCGTGATTCCATGGTTCCCCTCCCAGCGGTCCCCGAGTGCACACTGTTGGCCGTTCGGCACAGGCATGGCTCGGCTGCCCCTCAAGCGCAGAGCCCCCCGTTGCGTTACGGGACACGTACCTGCCCCTCCACAATCCACCTGCAGATGGATGTCTTCCCGTCGTAGCCTGGTCGGAACTGGAGTGTGGCTGAGCGAGGACTGATGTTGGAGATGACTAGGTTGGACGGGGCCCCAGGAAGGTCTAGGGGAGGGAGAGAGAAGAGGCGGAGGTTTAGATGAGGATACGGCCTGGGCGAAGGCTCAGTGTCAGGATGGTCCTGCGCCAGAGGGGGATTTGTTCTCAACACCGTGAAAGCCAGCAGCCCACAGCTCTGCCCAGGACGTCGGCACAACCTGATGTTTATATTAGCAGGGTCCCTGCGAGGCTCTGAGCCACCTGACGGGGCACTGGCAGACACACATCTGATTCCTCTCTGTACACAGCAGGTAATTAATAGGTACTGGTTGGATGACGAGTGGAATTCTCCCCGGGCGCTGAGACACCACTGAAAACTGAAGGTCTACGCTCGCTCGTAGCTCCCAGGATGCCTGGGAGAGCAGGGAGGGGGCGTGCTGGGGGCAGAGCACAGCCTGCGAGCTGCTCCCAGCCTAGGCACGGCTGGATTCAGGTCCTGAGCCTCCGGCTTCCTGGGTCTGGTTTCCAAGACAACCAAATTCAGGTGACAGCGCGGCAGTCTGCCCATCCTGCCTGTACTCAGTTGCTCTTGCAAGGAAATCAGGTTGGGGTGGGGTGAGAACGAGGCTCCCATCTCCTGAGATTCCCCCGGCTCTCAGACGTGGTGGTGGGGGGACCTGGGAAGGGCTGCTCTGCTCCGCAGAGAGCCTGTCCCACCTGCAAGTGTGGCCCTGTGGGTTTGGATGAGAGCTGTTGGAGCACTGTGTGACAAAAACGGCTCTGGAGGAAGATAACAGGGTAAAATGAAGACAGGAAAAATTGCAAACCAAGTGCAGCCTGAGGAGTCCCTGGCTCGCCATCGCGCAGGTATTTAAGCCAGGCCTTGCACGGAAACAGTAAAAGCACGCGGGTGATCAATTCCGTATTGGCTCCACCAGGGTCTCTTGGATCTCAAGGGTCCTTTCCATGCCAGTTTAATGAATCTGAAGTAGAAAGTATTTAAACGAGAGGACGAGAGACTCGCTTCCTTCTCTGTCTCAGCTCTCTGGGTTCTTAACTGGTCCTCGGTCATTAATGCAATGTAGACTCCAAGCATAGCAACAGACTACAGCTCCCCAAGGGACCATCACAGGATCTCACACGCAGCGCAACGCGCGCTGTGAAAAGCTATGCATCGATTTTAAAGGGTTCTGTACCAAAATAAGTGTATCGTCTGATTCATTTTCCATGAGTTTTAAACGTCCCCTTACACTCAGAATGCCCAGGCGTGTCCTAGCATCAGGCTACAGGCACGAATGACCTGTCCAGAAACAAGGCAGTGGCACCTCCCTCACCCCCTTCACCTTGGTTTTGAGGGCTTTTCCCAACGCCGTGGTGCCTCACCTCCCCGGGCTTGCCCGTCTGCTGGTGCAGGTGCAGATGAACCCAGCAACACTGGCCGCAGAGGTTTTGGGGGCCGGCTACGCCTTCTGTGGATGGTGCCCTAGCCATTCCCGGAGGACCTGGCGACGCACGCACAGGTGTGCTTCCACTGGTGCCCTCTCTCAGTGTGTGTCACTATCTGTATCTAATTAAGCAGCGGGCTGTCATCACTACCACTTAGGAAGTATTCATGCTATTTTAACTATGTGCTGTAGGAAGTGGGTTTAGATACTCAGTGTATTATGGGTACTTCATTAAAGAGAACAGACAGTATTACTTTATTCTGTAAATGCATTTTTTGAAAATGCTGAGCTGCCTTTGAGCAATGACTCTCAAAGTGCAGTCCCAGGGGGCAGCACCGGCATCCGTTCTGCAGCAGATCTCTGGAGCCTCGGCCCAGAGCCGGGAGGGGGACACTGATGCTGGGTGTGTGACAAGGCCCCGTGCGGGTGGCTTGCCCATCTGAGACAGGAAGCCTTGCTGGGCCCTGTGCCTCGGGAGGCTGCTTCACAGAGGGTCAGAGGTCATGCGAGGCCCTAGCTGCCTTCACAATGGGCCGGACGGCAGAGCTGTCTGGTGAGTGAGCAGTCCCCTGCGAGAAGCATGGCTGACGTGTGCACTCCCAGAGGGACCTGTTTGTTCTGCATTTGTCTTGTGGTCTCGTCAGATGTGTGTGTCTCTGCTCCAAGAAACTAACTGGGTTGTGGCAGCTAAGCTGGAAGTGGGGGTAGCAGGGAGGACCGCGCTGGCTTCGGATGGATCTTGCAGGCCCTTGTGAAGGGCAGGTGTTCCGTCCTCAGAGACTAACACAGGGCGATCTGACATCTTTCCACAGGCAAAGGGACTTACAGCTTTAATCACTGGACTGAGCTGAGAGCCCCGTGCTATTTTCCCACTTTAACCTGTATTTGTGACTTTCCTAGAAAAAAGTTTTCATTTGAAACAGAAGCTCCAAGATTGGGGAGAAAGTCAAGCAGCAGTCTTATAGAGCTGGAGTGTGAACACACAGGAGGTGGCACGAACCCCCGGGACGCGGGAACAGGTGGCACCCACTCGCCCGGCGGACACCCTCCTTGCCCACCCGCAGCCCGGATCCTCCCCCCTCTGCCTCTTCAGCTTTCCTCCCCTCCTCCCCCAACTTCCTTCTCTTACTGCAGGCCCACACTGCTAGCGTGCTGCTACGGGGGCACCGTTTTATCTCGTTCAGGTTTGCAGTAGAAGCGCTCTCCGCTTCCCTCTCCCAAATAAGGTCTCTTCTCCCTTGGTTGAGGGTGGGAGCCTCAGTGCTGGCTCCTGAGAGTCTCCTCGCACCCCAGCACACTCCCACGGCCCCGCATGCTGGCAGGAGAGGGACAAAGCCATGTCCAAGGCCCTGGACGCCAGGCCAACGCCAGGTCGGTGGTCACCCTCCCCCATCCCTTTCAAGGCCCCCAGTGGCTTCCGCACAAATCGGCCCCCTCGGGTGGCAGCAGCCTCTAAGAGGAAGTAGGAAACCCACACGTGTACTGACCTGGGGGCACTCCAGAGGAAATGGTGGACGAGGTGGCCAGGCCGGCCCCCACGGCGGTGACAGCCGCCACGTCGATGGTGTAAGTTGTCAGAGACGACAGTCCTTGGATCTTGTATTCGTGTGTGCTGCTGTTCAGAGTATGTGTGAGACGCGAGGCGTTCTTCCCGTACACCTCCCAGGAAACCTGGTAGCCTGGTGAAGAGGAGGCGAGAGTGGAGCCAGGGCCTCCCGAAGGCCGGGGCTGAGGCCCAACACCAAGTCCGGAACGACAGGGAGCTCAGACAGAGCCACTGCCCCTCCGAAACAAGAGCCCTGGTCAAGGCCCCTTCCTCAGCCTCCCACAGGTATGGCAACCACACCCCTTCTCAGACCACATGGCCCGTCTGCCCCCAGACGGCGAGCTTCCTGGGGACAGGGGCCTGGCTGATATTTGGCAACCTCAGTACCCGGTGCACAGACGGAAGAATGGTCGCCAGCCGGCTGCACTCTATTTAACGTTCTCCTGTCAATCCTGGAGCTGTTTAGCCAGTATCTCCGTTTGGACAAGCTGATGCTGTCAGTAAACAGAGCCCCCCATCAGCACTTGCCCTTGGCTTGTGGACACGCTCTGACGCTGCCCCTCCGCGATGGCTGTGCACCCTTCCACTCCGCGAAGCGCCGCGCCGGGGAAAGGTTCTCCTCACCGCAGTGCGTGAGGGTTGCCTCCAGCCCTGCCACTTCCATTTCTGAAGGCCTTGTTTTCCCTGCAAAATGTAATTCCCCACGCAGTGCGTTCCCTGGGGCCTCGCGGCCACAACTCACTCTACCTTGGATTCCGTTGTGGCTCAGGGCTTAGGGAAGAGAGATTCAATGAGCTCCAGAATCAGGCCCCTTGGAGGGGAGTCTGTGTGGTTAGAGGGTGCTTAGCAGGGGCCTGAACAGAGGGAGACGCGATGGCGATCGCTTGCAGACCCTCAGCAGAGGAAAAGCGCTGAGCAGCCTCGCTGTGCCTTCCACTCAGCCGACAAACTCGCGGCACCGAAGCACGAGCTTCCCTCTCATTCTAATGAAAGTAGCAATAATGCTGGGGAGGTGCACTTGCAGGTAAACAAGAGTGTACAGGACAGCACTGCGGACTTCAATATTTCAAAAAAAAAAAGACCCACTGCCTGCTTGCTGTCCCCGCAGCCTTCGTGCAGCCCAGCAACTCCCAGCACAGGCAGCGAGTCTGCAGGCTGGGAGGCTGCCGATGAGAACAGCAAAGGATAAAGCCGCCAGGCGCTGGCCCACAGCCCGCTGCCGAGTGCCTCGGAGCCAAGGGCTGGCTGCAGCTCCGCTGGCCTCTGGGCGGCTGCCCCAGCCCGTGGGGATCGCTGGACCGGCCTCCTCTTGGGCCCTGGTCCTGTGCCTCCTCACAGTGTGGGGGCAGCAGGCTAGCTGGGCTAACCACTCATGGCGGCCTCCTCCACGTGGCCCAGTGCTGGACCTCTCTCCTGTCCAGCCGGCACTGAGCTGCTCCCTCTCATGGGACCGGTCCTGAAACCACGCAGCATCAGAAGCGGGGGAACAACTGCATAACTGGAAACAAAAGCAAAACCTTCGGGCGATGAGCACTGACAACACGAGTGCTTACCACACTCCTGGCTGTGTTCTGAGCACTTCACAGATATTAGCTCATTTGATCTTCACCACACACCTTGGGGCTTGGGCCCACTGTTATCCCCATTCTACAAAGGACGAACCCAAGGCTGGAAACCAACAGCCCTGCTTCACAGCCAGGCTCCTCCTCCCGCCTCCCACAGCGCCCCCTCTCTCCACCTTCCCTGACGGGCCTGCAGGAACCTGGAACCCGCCCCCAACACTGGAAGCATCTGCTGGAAAATCTCTCAGCCATTTGGAACTCGGGATGACCTCGGGACGCACGGGAGGAAGCAGCTTTGTTGAGCACGTCCACCTGGCCTGCCAGAACATGTTATTTGTTTAAAAGCTGCTCTTCATCAAATTTTACTAAAACGCGGCATCTTGTTCATCATGTCAACGTGCAGCAGAAACGCAGCCAGCCCAGGGTCTCCAGTACGGGCAGCATTGCTGGGATTTATTAGCATCAACACTGATAACACGGCCTGCTCAAATTGTTACGGATACAAACAAAAACCAAACGGACAACTCGAGAGCCCAAGCTGCTCAGGAGGCCGGAGAGAAACGGCAGCGGAAAGCGCGCGCTGGCGCGGCCCGGGGAACGGATGGCACGGGCTGCGCAGGAGCCACAGATGGCAGAGCGGTGGCACGTGGCCGGGAAAGATGCCCTCCAATTTACACACAGCTTTCGCGGGGCGGGCCTGGCGGGCTCCGAGGCCCTGGCCAGAGAGTGTTTCATCTGGCTCCAGCGAATGAGAGGAGAGGGTTAGGAGCCCGGAGCCAGGGCCCAGGGGCGCCGCCAGCTTGGCGTCCTACCTGCTCCTAGCGGCTGCCTAACTGAGACTAACGACCAGGGGAGCTTCAGAAATAATTTTCTGTTGATCTGGAGTAAATTCTCTACGAGAGAGCAGTACATCCAATCACAAACTGTCTGTCTGCATCCTAGCCCTCATAAATCAGAGTTTACGGAAAGAGACTGGAAGATACTGAAATTTACAATGGGAGCACAACAGGCAATTTACCCGGCGGGTGTGAGGCGGCCTCCTGCTCTGTACCGCCCTCCCACTCCAGGCCCTGAATCAAAGCCAAGGCACGGGGGCTGCCTGCCGTGGCCCCCGGCCGATAAACCTGCACTTCCACCAGGACCCCCGGCGGCTGAGGGGTCCCGCGCAGAGGACTGCACTCTTGGGTGCTTATCTGCTCCCAGCACCTGCCTGCAATAGCAGCAGAGGGCTTTAGTGGGGGCCCGTGGGAAGAGAGGGCTGCCTGCAACCGGCTTTTGGATGTCCTGTTTGTCCACACGCGTGGCTTTTCTTTGGCTGTACGTAAGGAGCTCTTCTCTGCACCAGACAGACCTCTGTGGTGCTGCCGGCAAGCTTCCTGGAGGGACTGTGGTCGGGGAGGGGCTGGGGGCTGGGGGTGGTGGCAGGGAAGCGGTGCACTGGGTGCCGGCGGGGCTGCACCCAGGGCACAGGTCACAGGTGACCGTGTGGTGCCCGGATACTGAAACGACAGCTGTCCTGTTTCAGCTCGGGTAGGGCCTTCCCCTCCCAGAGACAGGGCCGCAGGTGTCCATCAAGCTCTTGGGCGCACGAGGCACACCTTATGGTGCTGGCAGGGACAGGAAAGCACAGCCATGCGGCCACCTTGGAAGCAGAGCATCCACCTGAAGAGCTGGCCCAGACTTCCGCCGCCCACGGTGGCACCGTCACCTCCAACCCTGGCCTCGGTGGGGGAGGGAGACACCGAGTGACTGAAGCTACCTGAGAAGCCAAAGCTTCCAAGGTCAAGTTCCACAGTAGACAACAGACTGTGGTTTGTGACTGCAGGTATTCGTTTAAATAAAACAGGGAACGAGTTCATTAAGCCCTATTAGCGAGTACAAACAGATTACCATAAATTGGAAGTATTGGCAACCACCACTTAGCCAGGAAACATTGGCGCCACTCCAAGGATTATGCCCGCGGCCTTCTCTGAGCTTTACAACAAGGACGGAGCATGTGGCGCGCTCAGAAGGGGCGGCAGGCCCAGCTGTGTGCGTCTGCGAGAAGGGAGTCCCCTGTCAGCCTGCCTGTCTCCCAGCTTTCTAAACCGTGGCAGGCTCAGCCAGAGAGGCAACTGGGGCGATGTGGGATTAGCTGCTGCTCTTGCCCACGCAGCGCTGCTATGGAAGTCAATGCTCAGACGGCTCAAACGCAGGCCCAGACCTGGTCCCTGAGGGGTCCGGCCAGGAACACCTCTTTCCTCCATTTGCTGCTGCTGTGTAGCCAAGTAACTGGAGCTCAGAACACTCACTGGCACGAGGAGGAGCAACCCGCTCAGAAGACAGAACGGCTGGCCGGCACCGCGGCTCACTAGGCTAATCCTCCGCCTGCAGCACCGGCACACCAGGTTCTAGTCCCGGTCGGGGCGCTGGATTCTGTCCCAGTTGCCCCTCTTCCAGGCCAGCTCTCTGCTGTGGCCAGGGAGTGCAGTGGAGGATGGCCCAAGTGCTTGGGCCCTGCACCCCATGGGAGACCAGGAGAAGCACCTGGCTCCTGGCTTCGGATCAGTGCAGCGCATCGGCCGCAGTGGCCATTGGAGGGTGAACCAACAGTAAAGGAAGACCTTTCTGTCTGTCTGTTTCTCTCTCTCACTGTCCACTCTGCCTGTCAGAAAAAAAAAAAAAAAAAGAAGAAGAAGAAGAAGAAGAAGAAGACAGAACAGCCCAGGACCTGCGCCCAGCTCTGAAGCAGGCAGACAGGAGCCAGAGGTTGGCTGTGCCGCACCACAAGGAAGTCTAGGAGGCGCAGACAGACAAGCACCCAGTGCATGGGGACCACACAGTCGGAACACTGGTTGATGTTTACTGAAAGAAGAGGGATTGGTTGGTGGCTGTGCTGCTCCTGGCCCGGCAGTGGCTGGACACCTAACACAACCTGCCTCAGTCCATCCTCCAGACCGTCCCGGGAGGGTGTTACAACACCCACCACTGAGATGGAGGCCTGAGAGGTAAGTCAGTGCTCCCACCTGACCCAAACAGAGGAAGAGGGGCCTCCCCACCTTCATCCAAGGCTCAGAACTATGCTGGTTTTATCAAACCACAAGTTTTTATCTTCAACTAGTGATATGGGGTAAGGCAGGTAGCTAGATTAAAGTCAAAGCTGGAGACCATACCTTCCCTGCCCCATGTAATCCCACCCACCCACCTGTCAATCAGATGACCCTTTCCCTAGGATGTGCTTCCCTTTGCCTGGAACCTGGGGACAGTACCATGTAAACACTCCCCTTTCTAAGCTCGTAAGAAGCTCCCCCTCTCTTTCTCTCTCTGTGCGGCCCCAGAGCAAGCAGGGTATGGGATTCTCTCTCTCTCTTTTCTCTACCTGGCCTACTCTCCCCGAGCAATGCCCAGTGTGTGTGTTTTCCTCACCTTCTAAATCAACTTTACCACTTGGCACACTGTGTGCATACCTGCACACAGGTAGGATGATGGAACAGGAATTCAGGCCCAGCCTGGCCCACAACACTAGGACCGAAATTGCCTGCTTCCCAGAAACCTTTGTCCTAAAATGAAATCACTGGAAACCCCGTGAGCGGTGGGCTGTTTCCCCCAGGGGTTCTGGCACCAGGAGAGGCGAGGTCACTGTGAAAGGGCAGCTGGTGCCCACCCTCCCCGTGCACAGCTCAGCACCTCCGCCCAGGCTGCTCGCTGCCTCTTGTCCTGAGGGTCCCTACCAGGAGGCATGACGGGGACAGACAGGGCCCCCACTTTGCACACTCAGACAGTAGGCTTTGTGCGCCTCTGCTGACGGAGGAAAAGGCCTCCTGTCCTCACCTGTGCAGGAGCACAGCACCAAGGCCATAGCACGCCGCTCTGGGAGGTGAGTGAGGCAATTTCATGTGAGTGACACATCAGTACACGGCTGATGACCATCGGTCAGAGACTTCCAAGGCTCGGGAAGAGGGCACGAGGAGAGTTAACCTCCAGACACAGAGGCTGGTGCCACGTGGTAGGAGGCCCGCCATCGGGGCTGGCTCTCTGGCTTCCTGCCGCGTGGCCAGGGAGACTTTCCGGTTACCCTCGAGAAGGCCGCAGCCCAGGCCCGCGGGCAGCGGTTTCCTCGCAAGCCATCTTTGCCACGATGGATGAGCGACTCCTCTTTTTTGAACGACAGGGCCACTCACCTGTGATGATGCCGTTTTTCTCCAGGGGCTCCTGCCAGCTGACCTTGAGAGACGTGTCCAGGATCTCCGTGAAGCTCAGATGTCCCACCGCCCCTGGTTCTACCAGTTAAAAACAGAAGCATTTGTTACCATGAGAGCCCCACTCTCTTCTGATCCGATTTGCGTGGAAGGGCCTACCCACGGACAGGGGTGGAGAGCTAGGGCCAGCTGAGACTGGCAGGGAGCATCAGAGGAGAGGCAGGAGGGAGGAGGAGATCCAAGGCGTCCCAGCTGGCAGCATCTGGCCTGGCTGCGTCCCAGACACGCGGAGAGCTGAGGCCACTGCGAAGGGAGATTCACACACAGCTCCTTCTCTGCCTTTGTCCTCGCTCCAATGTGAGTGCAGCCGTCAGGCCGGCTGGGTCCTGAAGGCAACTGCTCCATTGAGCCCCTCTGGACAGCTGTCTGCGGCCCTGGGTCTGGCCTGGGCTGGGCTCTGAGAAACGCCAGGGCAAGGGCGCTACCTGTGAGATGCCACCTGACGCCACCCTTCTCCCTCCCAAGGGATTCTGGGGACAGGGCTTGAGAAAGAACATTCTCAAGTTCCGGGTACAGGGGCTTCCTCTGCCTGGAGCTCCCAGGAGCTTCTTGGCAGCACAGCCCCCTGCTGGCCTGGGGGGCTGCAGTAGCAGTCGCAGTTCACACTGGCGTCAGGACTGGGCTCAAGAGCTGCCTGCTCTGAGTCCAGCTCTGCAGTCAAACTCCCCAAGCCTCAGTTTCCTCATCTGTGAAATGGGAAACGCAAAAACGACTCTGCAAGGTAACTGTGAAAATAAAATTTAATAAAACACAAATGCATTAGCTTGCCCTGGTGTTGTGGAAATGTCCACCAAACGTGAGCTGCTCGCATGACCAATCAGCCTGTCCTCAGATCAGAAACTGCCTCTGGAGGGTAAAGACACCCAGGTCCAAGCCCAGGCCCCCGGCTCAGTTCAGTGCAACAACTGTGGTGTGAGGCTTTCCTGTCTCAACTCAGGGACAGCAGGACAGAGAATGAGCGCCCTGCACCTGGACAGAACCTTGTCCCCCAGCTCGCCTGGCTTAGGGCTCTGCACTGCCCCGCCATGGTCTGATGTGGCTGCCCTGCCCTGTGCGCTGACCAGGAGGAGATCAGGTGGCACTGGGGTGAATACGGCGAGGGCCACATTCCCACAGACCTGGTTGCTCCCCAGCCTGCCTTGACACCTGCACAGCCACAGATGCACGGGCTCCGGGGAGCAGCTGGAAGGGGGCTGAGGCTTAGGCTCAGACAGGGCTGGCGTGAAGCGCAAGGGAGAGAAGGCAGCACGCTCACAGGGCCAGGCAGTGTGCGGCTGCTGGCAGGCGTCCCCGGCCCCGCCGCTCACCAGCAATCCAGCTGCTCTGCTCGGCGGGCGCTGCTCTCCCTCCCACCATCACAGCCTCACCTAACGCCTCCCCCGTGGCACCCAAACCAGCAGAAATGAGGGGGACACAGGGAGGGAGGAAGCGTGGCTGGGAGGAGGCATCGGGGCACAGGAAGGAGGGAGGGAGGGCACCTGCGGAAGGGACAGGGACTCACTGTCTCGGCACACATCACGTAGGGGCTTGCCCCGGCCAGGGTGGGACGACAACTAACCACCCACCTCCTCACGGACCTCTCACGAGGCCAGCGACACTTCTCCAATGATAAAAGAGGCGACCCTGTTTCAGGCTGAGACCAGGAGAGCGGGAAGCTAAGGCGTGGTGGTGGTCCCCCAGGGCGGCAGTGTGTGTGGGATTTCCAGGTGGAAGTCTCCCCCCGCGGGGGCTGTTCTGACCCCTGCCCGCCTCGCTGGTGCAGACGGCTGATTTTTAGGAGAATTCCATGCCTGGCGCGACCCGGGGACTTGGACAAAGCCTCCGAACACAACCTGGGATTTTTCAAAAGCGGTAGGAGCTGCAGAGAACATCTTCGTCTGCTGCAATTCTCAGAGACTTTTTCGGGGAAGGCTCGCAGGCTGACACCTCTCACTCCTCAGGGTGGAAGCCGGCGGGATGGAACGGCTGTCCGGACTGTGTCTCCTCCCCCGACTGCGCGCTTCCAGAGAGACATGCTGGCGGCTTTCTGAACGGACTGGCTCTCTCTCGACCGATCGGGGGGCAGAGGAAGCATTCTGCTCCTCTCGCGTTCTCGGTGCCTCTGCTGCCTGGATCCCTGCCCACGCACGCGGCCCTCTAGCTCTGCGGGAACCAGCTGGCGACGTCTGGGCTTAAGATTTATCTTCTGTTTCTCTCTACTGCCCCTCTCTCAACGAGTTCTTATTTCACTGGCGCCCTGGAGAAGCAAGCCCGCCAGGTGTGGAAGTAACTGCGGCACCACTGGCGACAGCGACGGAGGCCGTTCCTCCAGCACCCGGGCTTTTCTTTTAAAGGCTTTGCCTCCCTCAAATAGCAACACGTAAGAGCCTCAGGCCTCAGGGATGACTTCAGCCCTCCTGTCCACCTTTCAGAGTGACATCGCACAAGTCTGAGCAGGGAGGACAGGCTCCATGCCCATCCAGGGCTGATTCTGTCAGACAATTCTAAGAACATGACACTGTGGCCGGCGCCGCGGCTCACTAGGCTAATCCTCCACCTTGTGGTGCCGGCACACCGGGTTCTAGTCCCGGTCGGGGCGCCGGATTCTGTCCTGGTTGCCCCTCTTCCAGGCCAGCTCTCTGCTGTGGCCAGGGAAGGCAGTGGAGGATGGCCCAAGTACTTGGGCCCTGCACCCCATGGGAGACCAGGAGAAGCACCTGGCTCCTGCCTTCGGATCAGTGCAGTGCGCCAGCCGCGGCGGCCATTGGAGGGTGAACCAACAGCAAAAGGAAGACCTTTCTCTGTCTCTCTCTCTCACTGTCCACTCTGTGTGTCCAAAAAATAAATAAATAAATAAATAAATAAATAAATAAAAAAAAGAACATGACACTGCTTCTGGCTTTTCCTGATGAGAGGGAAATACGATTTATGACTGAGAAGCAATCATTTATATATGTAATATATATGGCATTAGAGCTTTCATTAGATATTCACAAATACAGACCGTATCCTGGACCATTAGACAAACCACAGCAAATTTAGAAGAACTGAAATCATGCCACCTCTGTTCTCTGATCATCATGGAATCAAATCAGAATCAAAAGCAGAAAAACAACCGAACAGTCTCCAAAAATGTGGAAATTAAACAGCACACTTATAAATAATCCGAGCGTCAAAGAGGAGTCTTACAAGAAACAAAATATGCAGAACCGAATGACAGTGACAGCACGGCATACCAGAAGCTGTGGGATGCAGCCAAAGCAGCACTGAGATGCAAATTCATAGCCACTGAACAGCAGCTCAGATCAGAATAAAAAGCCTACCACAAAACATAAACAAAGTGAATCCAACAACATATAAAAATAATAAATACTATGATAAAGTGGAATTTATTGCAAGTAGACTTGGCTGTCAACATTTTAAAACCTATCAAAGTAATCCAACATTTCAACAATCCAAGAAGAAAAAAAAATAGGTTTGTAGCAACAGATACAGTAAAAGCATGTGGGAAAAAAATCTGTTCATGGTGAAAACTCTCAACAAATTAGTAATAGTGGGAATGACCTCAACTTGATAAAGAGAGTTTACCAAAAAAAAAAAAAAAAAAAAAAAAAAAAAA